CGCTCGATACGGTTGGGCTTTCGAGACTTTGCTCGTGAGCTGGTAGGCGCCGTTGGAGCCGAGGTGGGTCACCGCCTCGACAAGACTGAGCGGTTTTGCGCTGGCGCCATTGAAGGCGTCAAGGCGACAGCTCCCAAGGAGAAGGAAGCACGTCCTCCTCGCCGGGAGCCTGTCAAAGTCAAGTTCCCCGATTCCTACAGTGGGAAGAGGGAGGAAAACTTTGACAATTGGGAGGCCAATGTTAAGACCTATGTGCACTTGCTCCCCAGATCAGCAAGTCCTAATTGCTATCCACGCGCTGAGAGATGAGGCCGCCAGTTTTGCAAGGTCCCTAGTTCGCACGGCCAACTGCAATGATGATCCGGTTGCGTATTCTACGTTCACTCCCCTCACCGATTTTATGAAGTTGCTGCGCGAGCGTTTCGCTGATGTCGCTCGCAGTGTTAAGGCTTCAGATAAGCTCCAGACCATCCACGCGCGTAAATGGAAGAGCGCCAGGGCACTCAAAGGTACGATGGATGAACTGGTGGCCGTCCCTGACCATAAGGTCACAGAGGCCCAACTGGTCAATCTCTTCTACCGGGCCATGCCCGAAGCCTTGCGAGGGCATTTCTTCGCAAAGAGCGAAGATCCTGCCACTACGTACGATTCTCTTAGTCGTGAAGTGGTGGCTTTCGAAGCCAAGTCTGCATCCGTGTCCACCTTCTGGCACAGAGACTTGGACAAGGGAAAGCAATGGAAGGGCCGCACTATCTCACGGCAGTGAAGACTAAGGATAGTCTTGTCCTAACTCTAGACGAGGGTAGTGTGGATGAGATCCCCTACGATCAGATTGAGTGGGGATTAGAGGAGGAGGACAGCGGTGTGGGCCAGGGGAGATCTTACCCTGCTGTCGCGGTTGGAGGGAGGCCGCAAGGAGGAGGACGAGGCCAGGGCCAAGGGGGTCGGGCCTCGGGGAGCCGGTTTCAAGGCGATCAGGGGGTTGGTGGCAGAGGAGGAAACCGCCAAGCGGGAGGAAGGGGTCAAGGTCCCCCGCAAAACCGTCCTAGGAACATGTCTCCCTATAGGGTAGGAGGATGGCACCCGGGGCTACCTCAGGGTAGGCCTTGGGAAAGTTTGGGTCTGGACCGGGGCTTATGGCAACAACAATTGGACCGGGGCCAGTGCATTTTCTGCGGTGACCCGGGCCACATAAAGTATTTAGCGACCCGAACGGTTGCCCAAGGGCCAAAAGGCAGCCGCCGGAAGGGGTAGCAACTGCCCCTACCATTAGGCCATGTGGGGAACATAGCGCTAGCCGGCAGGAGACTCCCACACCACATGTGCCTATGGCAGAGGTTGCAGGCCGGTGTCTAGATAGCTGCCCAGAGACCGCTTGTATTAGGGTCTCTCTAGACACCTCCCTCACAGGCGTAGCTGAAGAGTTGAAGGAGAGACGGCCCATTTGGGCCAAGATGAAGAAGGAGAATAAAGGGCAGCTTATATGATAGATACAGAGATCTTTAGGAGTAGAGTAGGGGGCCTAGTAGACTCAGGGGCCACCCGCAGCTATATCAGTAAGAAAGCGCTGCAGAAGTTGAGGCTGGGACTTAAAGTCCAAAAATTGACAGACCCCATTGTTAGTATCCTCGCGGACAATCGTACTATGATTGTAGAGGATTACGTAGCGGGTGTCCAGGCGTATTTCCGCCTAGAGAAAGGTGGGAAAGTGGAGAAGGTCCTCCACTCCCTGACTCTCCTCGTAGAAGACAGCCTCCCATTTGATATTATTCTGGGAATGGATTGGGGAGAAGCAGCCGGGGCCACGCTCCATTTGAAGGAGCACGAGTGTAGGCTCCCTAGTTCGTCAGGCGAGGCCAAGATTACCCGCCTGTTTCATGCGTCAGGGGTAGAGAATTCCTTGGCGCACTGCTGCCTTAGTGCCCCCGCGTTCGCCAGATTGGTGAAGAAGGAGAAGTTGGAGGAACAGGTTTTTGTTGCCTATGTTAGGCCAGTGACCGAGCCTACAGAAGAAAGGCCAATGGACCCTGCGATTGCCAAGCTGCTGGAAGAGTTTAAGGATTTGACTGAACTGCCGACAGGCACGGTGCCGCGACCCATCCAGCACCGTATTGAGATAGAACCTGGCAGTAAAACTCCTAAGGGTGCTGTGTACAGGATGTCCCCGCGGGAGTTAGAGGAGCTGCGAAAACAGTCGGACGAGCTCCTTGAAAAGGGTTGGATTAGGCCCAGTTCGTCTCCTTTTGGAACCCCTGTTCTCTCTGTACCTAAGAAAGAGGGAGAGCTAAGGATGTGTATAGACTATAGGGGTCTGAATGCCATTACAATGAAGAATGCTGAGCCACTGCCTAGGATAGACGATCTCTTAGATCGAGTGCAGGGGGCGAAGTATTTCTCCAAGATAAATTTGAAGTCCGGATATCATCAGATAGAGGTACATCATGATGATCAGTACAAGACGGCCTTCCGGACTAGATATGGGCACTACGAGTTCATAGTGATGCCCTTTGGACTAACCAATGCGCCAGCTACGTTCCAGCGCTGTATGAACAATTTGTTTAGCCCATGGTTAGACAGATTTGTTGTAGTTTATCTAGATGACATTCTAGTGTTTAGCAGGACCCTCGAAGAGCATCAGGGTCATCTCAGGCAGGTCTTGGAGAAGTTGAGGGAAGCTAACTTCAAGATCAATGCAAAGAAGTGCGATTGGGCAAAGACCCAAGTTATGTACTTAGGCCACGTCTTAGACGGAGACGGCGTTAAGCCAGAAGATAGCAAGATCGCAGCGATTAGAGATTGGCCCACGCCATGTACGCTGACAGAGTTGCGCTCGTTCCTGGGCCTAGCTAACTACTATAGGAAGTTCGTGAGGAACTTCTCCACCATCGCTGCGCCCCTTCNGGAAGTTCGTGAGGAACTTCTCCACCATCGCTGCGCCCCTTCACAGATTGCTGAGAAAAGAAACAATCTGGAAGTGGGACAAGGACTGCACACCTGCCATGAAGAAGCTAAAGCAGGTATTGATAGAGTATCCGGTCCTTAAGGTCGCCGATCCGTCCTTGCCTTTTGTCGTTACTACGGATGCTAGCTAGTACGGCATAGGCGCAGTGTTACAACAAGACGATGGCAATGGCTATAGACCTGTAGAGTTCATGTCCGCCAGGATGCCTTCAGAGAAGGTCGCGACATCTACCTATGAAAGGGAACTCTACACTCTCAGGCAAGCCTTAGACCACTGGAAGCACTACTTGCTTGGGAGGCACTTCAAAGTCTATTCTGACCATGAGACATTACGATCGTTAAAGACGCAGGCCAAGATGACACCTAAGCTTACTAGGTGGGCCGCAGAGATAGATCAGTATGACTTTGAGCTCAAGCCTGTCAAAGGGAAGTACAACGTAGTCGCGGATGCTCTGAGTAGGAGAATGGATTACTTTGGGGCAATAGTACATTACCTCGATATAGGGAAGGACCTGCAGCAGAGGGTTAGAGAAGCTTACACGCAGGACCCTATCTATAGTGAGCTCCTTAAGAAAGTCAAGGAGGCCCCAGAGACTGAACCGAATTACCGCACTACCGAAGGGTTGCTTTTTGAGAAGACTAATGTGTCTGACCGCTTGTGCATCCCCAATAGCGAAGAGATTCGAAGTCTGATTTTGGGCGAATGCCATGACGCAGAGGGTCATTTTGGTTGGCAGAAGACTTTAGCCAATCTGATGCGCACGTATACCTGGCCAGGGATGAAGAATGATTGTGTAGAGCATGTTCGCAGTTGTAAAGTCTGCCAACGTAACAAGACATCTACGCGTGCTCCCTTAGGTCTTCTCAGACCCTTGCCCATTCCGGATCAACTGGGAGACTCGGTGTCCATAGACTTCATGGACACTCATGTCAAAAGCAGGCATGGCAAGAGCCAGGTCATGGTCATCGTTGACCGCTTTAGCAAGTACGCAGTTTTTGTTCCTTTGCCTTCAGAGGCGAGTACTGATTTAGTCATACAGAGGTGCTTTGACTGTTGGATTAGTGAGAATGGAGTCCCGCTGTCAATAGTTAGTGATAGAGATAGTCGTTTCACCAGCCAGAACTGGCAAGAACTCATGGGAGTGTATGGATCCAAGTTGTTGATGTCGTCCGACCGTCATCCAGAGACTAATGGTCAGACAAAGCAAATGAACAAGATCCTACAGCAAGTTCTGCGCATGTACATTAGGCCAGATCAGATTAACTGGGATGAGATGTTGCCCAAAGTAGCTAGTGCGTACAATAACAGCGTGCATCTAGCCACCTGCCGCACTCCCAACGAACTGCACAAGTCCTTTCGACCGCGCAGACCGTTTGAGGGACTCAACCGGGATCAGATTCACAGATTGCCGCCCGGGACCAGGGAGTTTGCTGTACAGCACGAAAAAGAACTAGCTACTGTCGTAGAAAACCTCAAGAAAGCCCAGCATAGGATGATAGAGCAAGCGAACAAGTAGGCGACTTAGTCTGGGTTAGTTCTAAAGAGTTTGCACCTGAGGAGAACATCTCGCAGAAGTTACTGCCCACGTATAGAGGGCCGTGGCCTGTCCTGGAAGTCAAGGGCGGCGAAGATGGACCGTCCTATACAATAGAACTCCCAGCACACCTCCACACGTACCCAGTTTTCCACGCATCGAAGTTGCTACCTTGTCAGACAAGTGACCAGTTTCCATCCCGTAGATCGATGATCCCACCGGATATGGATGAAAGATACGACATAGATGGTATAGTGGCTGAAGATGTTTTCAGAACTGGAGGTAGGGGTCGTCCGCAGAAACAGTACAAGGTTCATTTCAGTTATCAAGAACCGGAAGACGAACGCTGGTTTACAAGATCTGAACTTCTAGAGACAGCTCCCGATATAGTCCGGGCCTATGAGAGACAGCGGAAGGGTAAAGGTCCTGCCTTGGACTGAAATTTTCTCGGAGGACCTCGAATTTAGGCCGGCGGGAGTGAAACGGTATTCACCAGTTCGCAGTAGCGAATGCAGATCCCAGGGCTGGATCCCTAGTTCCCCATCTTACCTGTGTACAGTATGGATGTCAACCCGTAGACTTGAACCCGCGACCTGTAGGACTGCCAGTGGTAGGCAGGGTTTCGTAGGTCACAAGGTAGAAGGGAATCGAACTGTAGACCTGTAGAGTAGGAGTATAGACAGTTCCGAAGTCGTAGCTGTAGGATGCCTGAAGAGTCAAGGTCGTAGCTGCTACTTACCTGAAAGGGCAAAGTCGTAGCTGCTACAGCACCGAAAGGCCAAGTTCGAGACTTCTAGAAGTGGCCTTTCGGAGTTGGCCTGTGTTCAGCAGAGGCAAGTGGTCAAGTGGTGGTAGTCCACCTAGCCCAGTCAGCAGTCCCAGTCAGTCAGTCCGGTCCTGTTCAKCAAGTACTGTCTGGGACTGTGTGCACATCGTGGGACAAGGGATACAGGGCAGACCAACRCAGCGCAGAAGTATAAATCAAGAGGCTGCGCCCAGCCATTCATTCATTCCTGCGGATGCCATGCGGAAGCGCTGCCCCAGCAGCTTGTGCGAGGAGGTCTGCAGTGTGCCCGAAGACGAAGAGGGCAGTGAAGTGTAGTGTAGCGATAGGATAGTGGCAGCCATAGCTGCCATAGCTATAGTAGCGTGTGTGTGTGTGTGTGTTGCGTGTAGAGTGTTGCGTGTGGGACATCCAGGGTGATCCAGAGTGCGAACAGKGAGTTGTGTGGGCGCTCAGTCGCCATAGCCAGTTGAAGAGAACTCCTACCTGGTTACGATATCTTGAGTACTGTGTGGGCGCATGTGGCCAGTTTGCTGTTTCGCTGTTTGCATGCATGACAAGTGTGAAGAAGTCGAGTCTGATTGCAGCTTTGCCTCGGAACAGAGAATTTGTCGCACAAAAAGAATCATCAGGGCATATCCACACAAGCACTTTGCCATAATTACGGTCACATACATCCAAAAAGACAGTTTGCGTGTGTCTACACCCTAAGTCCACATACACTCCATAGCGTGTGAGAACCATCCACTTCAACACGCTGCTTACCCTGGCACAGTGAAATAGGCATCCCTCCCTCTCTCTCTCTCTCTCTCTCTCTCTCTCTCTCTCTCTCTCACACACACACACACACACACACACACACACACACACACACACACACA